TTTCAATCGCTGGATGATTCCAATGAAAAATATGTAAATAATATGTAATTATTATTATTATTAATTTACATATTTTTCATTGGAATCATACAGCTTTTATTCAAACTATTGATAATTTTTAAGCGTCTCTATCCACGTTTGGGTTACTTTTAGGCTTATTTGTCGTTTTTTCGAAATAAAAAAACATTTTTGCACTTTTGCACTTTTTGTTAAAGTTCATCCTGGCTTTGTTGTCGTTTTGATACTCAAAAATCCTTTTGTCAACACATTCAGACTCTCCTACAGAAAACAGGGTATTTTTTGTTAACTAACATCTATTCCTAGGTTTATGTTTTGGGGCCGTTTTCTATTGTACTAAACTTTTATGTGGATAATTCGAGGCTATCTCAATCTAATTTTAGGTATTTTGTGTTGGTCTTTTATCTTTATCTTTTACAATCCATCCATTGTTGTGATGATGAATGTTGTTTTGGTGACACTATTCAACAGCTATTGATATAGTAATTAGTTTAGGTTTTAAAGACATTCACAAGTGTGGCTGTATGTGTCTTTGATGAGTTCTGGCTTTGATGATATTATATGACATCATCACACTGGTGATTGGGATAACAAATGATGGTGTTTAAATTGTATTTCATGTATCATCAACATGCCAACAATGATCTTTTTTTACACAAAAATGTTAAAATAAATGTTAGAGCTCATTACATTAAAATATATACAAGTAAATGTACTGAATTATATTTTAAGAATATTGTAAAATGTTTGATGTGTAAATTAACCAATAATTTGTATTTTTATAGATTCATAAAACATTTAAAATATTATTTAAATAACATATATAGACTATTGTTTTGTATGTTCCAAAACACAATGTAGCAGCATTACCAAACGATCCATAGATGAGGGAGTTTGAAACTTACATCAACTACATTAATAGTAGGCTATTAAGAAATGTTTACACACGAAAACAAATCGTATATATAAGTAAATGGTGTTGTTCGGCTTCAGACCACGAGGGGGCAGTGAACTCTCACCACCCTCTAGTAGTCCTTGCTAGTACAAAACACTAGTACAAAAGTTAAACACGCCCATAAAATGTCGGTAGCTACAGGGGTGTTTAGCTAAAAAGAAAAATCTGTTTTGGATGCAAGCGTGTGTGTTTTACCCGATCAAATATGTGCACAAAGAATGCGTATTATATCATGTTGCCGCGAGTAAAGCAGAAGTCAAAGAGCTAAAGAAGAAGAAGCATATTTGTAATGGCCACATGAAAGGTGTTACGTTTGTAATTGTCAGCGTAACCAGTTGAATAACAAACTTTGCGTCCGGACTCCATAGTTCAGAAGAGAGGAGTCCAAAGTCTTTCTTCGTCGACTTTTCCCCAGAAGCTTTTTCAAGAAAGCGAAGACGGACCTACAGAAATTGTTTTAGAGCTTCGCTGTCGCCATGGCTCAGCTTTCATATGTTTCAGGCTCCGTGGGTTTGATTACTCTCCAAAATCCTCCTGTCAACGTCCTCAGGTGTGTTCAAGTTATACTTTAAACAGTATGAAGTGTTGTGTTGTGTTGCGTTGCGTTGTTTTATTCACTGTTTGTTTATTGGTACGTCCTATACAAACCATATGTTTGTTTTAAATTAGTTTTTATATTTTTGTGTCATGTTTTAGTGGTGAAAACTACAATTTATCTTTCTGCCCCCGGACTAGTTCTAATTCTGGATTATTCTTCGTGGTCAAGTCAACTCACGTGACTTTTAACTTGTTTATAGTTCATTATCACCGTAGGTTATTTCATTAGTTACTTTAATGATAATGACTTAAATTATATACATGTTACACAGCATTAACTGTATTTGGGACTGATATTTTGGCACGTAAACATGTGAGTATACATGTTACACAGCATTAACTGATATTTTGGCACGTAAACATGTGAACTGTTAATGTTGGTTCACGTCCTTTGTACAGTGCAGCAACCCGACAAGGAATCATGGAGTCCATGAAGAAGGCCCTCAATGATCCTAAGGTGAAGTCTGTGGTTATATGTGGCCAGAATGGAGTTTTCTGTGCAGGTATTCACAACTGCTTAAATTTATTTTAACAAACTTTATTTATTTTCTTTGCATGACCACTTGTATGTATTTTTGCCTGTCATGCATGATAGGGGCTGACATTAAAGAGTTTGGTCCAAACATCTCCGGGCCTTCAATTGTACCATTAATCTATGACATCGAGGTTGCAAACAAACCGGTGGTGGCTGCCATAGAGGGGAGCGCTTTAGGAGGGGGCCTGGAGTTGGCACTGACCTGTCATTATCGAATCGCACACTCAAAGGTCAGTTTACTTTTGAATTTCTCTCAGTTTTAAACCAAGACTGTGTTAATGAACAGCTTATTAGACTACAACATGTAACTGAAACACACACCAAAATGAATAATTTGTAATTAATGAAACTATATCAGGATCTAATTATATTTAATGTAATCCTGTAATAATGTTTTTCTGTATTACCTTGCATATGTGCAAATTGTTTTTAACACTTTAAAGGCGTACTTGTTCAGTAAAGACACTGTTAGAAAATTAACATATTTAAATTCTATGAATATGTCATATCCTCCTTTTTAATGTGTCTTCTCAGACCAGACTGGGTCTTCCTGAGGTAACTCTGGGTTTGCTGCCAGGTGCAGGAGGAACTCAGTTACTGCCGAGGCTCATTGGTATCCCAGCATCCTTAGAGCTCATAACCACAGGTACTGTATATGAGAATGGATGGGTTTACATTTTTATATGAATAGTTCTAGGCCAGGGCTCTGCAACCTTCAGCACCAAAAGAGCCATTATCGTCATTTTAGCAGTAAAATAAATTCCCAGAGAGACCCATAAGCAAGTCGACAATATAAAAGAATGCATTGCACAAGTTACATTCTACAAATGTATAAAGAAGTACAGAGAGACAGGTGTTGACTATTTATATCTACATGCAGGCAATGATTAAACCAACACAATGGCATTCAATATTTAGTATAACAAATTCACTTCAGTGACTTCAACTCAACATTGCTTGGTTTACCTTAAAATCTCAACACCTGATTGTGAGTTTAGAGAACCACAAGGGAGCCACAGGTTGCACAGCCCTCATCTGGGATATAGCTATAAGATAAACTGTCGTGACATGACAATGAATGCACTTATCCAGTAATCTCTTAAAATGATCAATGATCCACCGTGGTTGGTTAAATGTCTGTTCACAGTGTTGCTCATATCCAGGCATGTTTTTGTGTGTTTTATTCCTGAATGTTAATTGCATTGCGTTGATTTGACATCTATGTGTTTTATTCCTGAATGTTTAATTGCATTGCGTTGATTTGACATCTGCGATACAGCTGTGTGACCAGTAGATGTCATGAGCGTGACAATTTCTTTGTCCAGTGAAGCCTAAACCATTGTGTGCCTATTGTTCCCAGCAAATGTCATTTTATGGCTGTTTTATGTTTTTTTTTTTTTTGTCGTCGTTTAAAAAAGGCCAGAGTCACATTAGGGCATGTTGGGCTGATGGGTTGTCTCCTAAACATAAAGGTCACAGAGATGCTCCTATGTTCTTGCCTAATAACTTCAAATGTCATGTCAGTGATGTCTCTCCATGACTCCCACAGGCCGTCACATCACTGCTGCGGAGGCGCTGCAGCTTGGACTCGTGGATCATGTCACTCAGAGTGACACGGTGGATTCAGCTGTAAAGTTTGCTCTGAGTGTTGAAGGTGAGTTTAAAAAAAAACCCCAAAAAAACAGAAGCGATGATACCAAATGGTAAAAAATCTTAATCACTGCTCTAATCATTAACACATGAGAAGGAGCAAAAAAAAATCCTCCAAGAAAAGTTATTTTTGGGCAAATCAGACCTCAGGAAGTGATGACATGTAGGTTGTGGAAGCCAGTGGAAGCAGAGAGCACGGCAGGCAGATCTTACAGCACGTAGCCATCAATGTTTCATGGCTCTGTCAGATTTGCTCTGATGTCTTCACTGCTTTTGCTGTATTATTTAAAAAGGGTGAAAAGGGACAAACTTTCCCAGAATATGAATAATTTGGCCTCAGCAGCTTCAGCAGAAGAGCTACATTTGTCCCAGTACTTTGTTTAATCGGATTAATTTACACATTTGTTTCACAGCCATGTCATTTAGAAGAAGCCATTACACACTCTGTGTCATGGATGAGCCATTCAGATAATCTTCACTGACAGTCCATGGTTAGTAGGCTCAACTTGATGTGGAGTTAGATAAGGATGTTTTCAAGTGCTATTAAGATGAGATCACCATTTAATTTGCAGCCATTTTGACATTTTGTGCATGAAATTAACATGTGTGGACTGATACTTTTAAATGATGAGGATAATTAACAGCACTTTGATGTTTCCCCTCTGTGTTCAGTCTCATTAGATATATGTTGGATTAATGTACATGTTGAAGTGGGAGTGATCCTTTCATCTCACCCAAATCTACATTAATAGATGTCAAAACATCTTTAATCTCCAGAACCAGCAGGACTTTCGGTTCAGCGTACACACATCTGAGCGTTGCTTTTACCAAAGTGCTTGACTCTCAAAGATGGGAACAAAGATAAAAATGCTGTTTAACTCTAGACGCTCCATTCCTGAGGCATTACAGACGATAGTTTGTGATTTTAAAACAAACAGCGCTGTCTTGTGCTGTTAAGAAGTACTCCTCCCACACTCCATTGCCAAGATGATTTTGAGTGGGTGAAAATGTGAGTGCTATTGAGGCTGAAGCTAGCTTGAGTCAGTCTGCAGCACACAGAGGAGGGATATCTGGAACAGACAGCCCACACTTGCACTGATTAGTCAGATGAATTAAAAAATTGCAAATGTGTATCTAATTTTCTAATGTCATATTATGAACCTATTAGCACAGCTCCAAAGTTTGAACATTGGGTTCCACTGAAAAATGAAATACAAAAACTGAGGCTCGTGTGCGTTTGTCAGGCAGGTCAGGAAATATTGGAGGCTCTAGGCTTAAAATATCTGTAATTGCACTTAGAATTCCTGTGACAGAGCCTTTAATCTTTCCTTCTAATGTGAAGCTCATTTTAACAGTCGTAGAAGAAAATGTCCATCTACAACTGGCTTCTGTAATTGGACACATTTTCCATGTCAAGTGCTATCACTGTATGGTCTTTTTGATCACACATGAATCAGATAAGTATCATTATTACAATTTTTGTCTAACTTTGCTAAGTTTTAACTGGTAAAACAATAAAAGTAACAGATAGCCCACAGTGTAGCAAAATAGATAAAAGAACAATAAAAGTAACAAACAGACAGCCCACAGTGTAGCAAAATAGATAAAAAAAATTGAAAAATATCTTTATTTAAAAAAAAAAAAGTATACACGCCACACGTGCAGAGGTTAGGGTTTCTTCTGTGGCTGGGGTTGTTTTTACTCTGGTGGTTTTAACATCTGTGTATTTGACCAGGGCCTCCCACTCACTCAAGTACTAATCCACAGATTAAGTACTGCAGTAAAGCTCTATTTTAGTACACTGTAGTACATCAGACTCACATTATACACATTTGAATGGAGCACATAAAAGGTTGGTCTGTTGTGATCCAGTGTTTCAGTTCCACTTTGCTGATCTATTGGTACGAAGAATGACATCAGACAAGTCAGACCAATGAATTCTTCTGCTCCGTCATTTAGTTTTGCCACAGTGACCCAGTTCCTGGCTCAGACTCACTGCTGCGTGTTATTTAGTGCAGCCATCAGGCGACTTTGATGAGTGACACACGTCATCATCTCAGAGGAGACAGAGATGAGAATTAAGATGCTTTCTCCATGACTTGAGCGGCGACCTCCTTCTCCCTCATCTTCTTCACTCTCACTAAATCTCAGCTGACAGGAACTGCTGTGTACTAAAGTTCCGACATTCCCGTAATAATAAATCTCCTGGTGTTTCCTGTGAAAGATTGCCACATTGTTGTGTCAGTCACTGCTCACAGTCCAGAGACTTTTTTCACTTCACTTTAGATCGGTTATTTCAAGCTGAATTGTAACATTGCAACGATTGACTTCCACAGAATGTCTTGAAAATAACAGCTTTTTGAAGACTCTGGGATTTTCAAGTTTAAAGGATGGGTTTGTTTAAACCACAGATTTCAACCCTGAGTGAGTGCAGACGTGAAGAGGTGGAGTAAATGGGGAAAATTGCATCATCCAGTTTAGAGCTGCGGGCGTCAGTGAACAGAAAACACACTCTATTAGAGAATGTGTGAAAAAGAACGTCAGGCTGTAGCCAAACAAAATGAATTTTCTTAACAATCCAGAAAGTGTTGATCACAAAGGTCTCAAAACAAAAAAATCTCCCGTTCTCACCCCTCTCTCTGTCTCGCTCTCACTCTCAAAATAGTAACACAAATCCTACAAAAACATGACATCACTACAATTTTGTTTGCTCCTCTGCATCATGACAGTAGCTTTTAGAAAATGTCAACAGTTGATGAAATTCATTTGTAGTCGAGAGACGGCACTAACGTTTCTAACAAATGCAACAAAGTCCTAAATAGCTTCATTTATTTGGCTGTTGGAGACCTGGCTGACATTCCTATGTTGCTGCTACATCCTTCCAGCTTTGTTTTACTCTCTGATGTGAACATCAGTAACAGGTAAGGAGTTTCTAAGGAGTTGTTTTTTTTGTTTTAGGTGAACCACTGGACTCCCGTCGTATCAGCAAACGCCCCTGTCCACACCTGCCCGATTTAGATGCAGTGTTTGAGGCGGTGATGCAGAAGGTGCGACAGAAATTCTACGGAGCCATAGCACCGATAGCATGCGTGCAGGCTGTGAGGGCAGCGGCCACGCTGCCGTTCTCTGAGGGCATGAAGCGGGAGCAGCAGCTGATGTCCACTCTCTTCACATCAGGACAGGCCCGTGCCCTGCAGTACAGTTTCTTTGCTCAGAGAGCCGTGGGCAGGTGGAGCATGCCCAGTGGAGCCAGCTGGAACACCAGCAAGGCCAGGCCCGTCCACAGAGCAGCTGTTCTGGGTGAGAGCCAAAGGCTTTTTAATTTTTGATTGTCCGAGCTTTTCATTTGTGTTACATGTTCGAGATTTTTGTTGCCTGTGAAAAGTACAGAAAGGCCTTTTTGATTTTCCAGCTTGGTGTTAATAGTTTAACTCTCCGTTCCCTGCCGGGAGAAATGGTTTAATTAGACTCTGGATATGTGAAGCTCAGCAGCTTGTTTATAAAATTTGAAACCTTTGGAAACCGATAAAGCCATAAAACTGAAAATATTTATAGTCCAACATTGATTTGTTTTTAGTTAACATAAAAGAAAAAACTGTTTTTGTTTATTAATTATTGGCTTTTTCACCCCCAACTCCCCTCTTTCTTTCATCTTCAATTTCTTGTTTTCCCTGTTGAGTATATTGCTTATTGCTACAATCTATGTGTAATTTTTTTTTCAAATTTGAGCAAAATTGTATTTATCCTTTGTCTTTGCTAGTTTGCAGCCCCTTTGCTGTTGTATTTAATTGTATTTATCCTTTGCTAGTTTGCAGCCCCTTTGCTGTATTTTGCCTTGAAAGTTTTTGTTTTGTGATAATTCAACATATACTTGAGGTACTTTTACTTTTTTTGTCCAGTTAACAGTGTATGTTACCTAAACTTGACCAAAACTTTCTTACAGGTACTTTTACTTTTCTTGTTTACCTAAACTTGACCAAAACTTTCTTAATCATTTACAGTTGCTTTATTAATCCACAGATAAGCTATCGTGAAATTCTGACTGTTGTCATCACTATGTGATTGTCTCCTCAGGTCTTGGCACCATGGGTCGAGGCATCACAGTGGCTCTGGCTCAGGCAGGTGTGTCTGTGGTCGCTGTAGAAATCCAGGAGAAGCAGCTGAACGAGGCCAGAGAACATGTGTACGCCACTTTAGAGCGAGGGGCTCAGCAAAGTGGTGTGAGCCCTTCCTGTGCGAACATCACTTACAGCCATGACATCCAGGCTGTGGCAGATGTCGACCTGGTCATTGAAGCTGTGCTTGAAGACCTGTCTCTGAAAGAGAAAGTCTTCCAACAGTTGTCTGCCATTTGTAAACCGGGGACGCTCCTGTGCTCCAACACCTCCTCACTTGACCTGAACTGCCTGGCCTCTCAAACCAAGAACCCAGAGCTGGTGGTGGGGATGCACTTCTTTGCTCCGGCTCATGTCATGAAGCTGTTGGAGGTGGTGTATGGATCAAAGTCATCGCCTGAAGCTGTGGCCACGGCCATGCAACTAGGAAAAAAAATGGGCAAAATCAGCGTTGCTGTCGGAAACTGCCGGGGCTTTGTGGGAAACCGGATGCTAAAGCCTTACATTGAGCAATCTTACTTCCTGTTAGAAGAAGGGGCAACTCCTGAGTTAGTTGACAAAGCCTTGGAGGAGTTTGGGTTTCCCATGGGTGTGTTCAGAATGTCTGACCTCTCAGGGCTGGATGTGGGATGGAGGGTCAGAAAGGAAGACGGGCTGGCAGAGCCTGTTGGGACATCAGGTCAGATAACCAGACTGCGTGGAGGGCGCAGGTACTCACCACTGGGTGATATTCTCTGTGAGCACGGAAGATTCGGTCAGAAAACTGGTCTGGGTTGGTACCAATACGGTAGACCTGGAGGTCGAGTTGCCAAATCTGATCCCTGGGTTTTCAACCTTCTGGAGGAGTACAGAGCCCGGCTTGGCTTGACTGCACGTCCCATAGACCAACAGGAGGTGCTAGAGCGCTGTCTGTATTCTCTGATCAACGAGGGCCTCTGCATTCTAGAAGAAGGATTTGCCTCAAGCCCTGAAGACATAGATGTGATCTATGTGTTTGGATATGGCTGGCCCAAGCACCGTGGGGGTCCCATGTTCTACGCCAGTATGGTGGGGTTGGCCACAGTCTTGGAGAGGCTGGATCACTACTACAGATCCAACCCTGATGTCCCTTCACTGAAGCCCTGCAAGCTGCTGAGGCAGCTGGTGGCCAGTGGCAGCCCTCCAGTCCACAAGTGGAAGGAAATCACCAAGAAAATTCAGAACCGACTCTAACGGTCATTAGGGGCATAACGGTAGACAAAAGCCGTGGTCCGTGGTACGAAAAGAGACAAAAAAATTTCTCATTTCTGAACATGAGACAAAATGGCAAATATTCAGCTTAAGTTTGGAAAAAAATATATAACAATTAAATAATAATCTATTCTGCAGCATGCCTCATGGCTCCTCTGTTCTCACACTGCTTCCTTCAGCTCCTCTGTCTGTGCGCATCACATTCATTGAAGGACACTTTCACTTTCACCCATATTCTGATGACGCTGTGTCAAGTGGGACGTCACGTTGTCTTCGGCCCATTCATTTCCCTCTCTCCACTGCTACTGTACTTTATGACCAAACATAGTGTTCCCAAACAGCAGACCTGAAGGAGATCACTTCCATTCCATAAACGACACTTGTCTGTGCCAGCCACTAATTAGATTAAAATTGTTGAGCAACTAAATGACTTGCACGTCCAGTGATTGGATCCCAATTACAGTTTTTCAATACAATGTGTCATGGCTGGTATTTGCAGTGCTGCTTTATTCCAGTGTTGGTGACACTGGTGCTGTTTGAAGACTTGAGAGTTTTTTTTTCTCCTGAGGAGGTACTTGGTAGAAAGAATTTTGAGAGTCCCTGCACTGGAGACTCCTGAGGAGGTACTTAGAATTTTGAGAGTCCCTGCACTGGAGAAGAGTTGTCTTCTGGTTTATTCCAACCGTTCCCTTTCATATCACAATGATTAGTAACAACAGCACGCGCTGCTCTGGTGAATATTGAGTCCGTCAGAGAAAGTCTTTCCTGCAGGCAGTGGAGTGAGGATGTTCTTCCTGTGGTGTCTGTTTTCTGCTGATTCAGCTGCAGTGACAGAGGAGGGAGCCGAGACACACGAGTCTCAGCTGCCTTTTACAGAAATCGATGGTTTATTCCCCCTCAGCTCAGCAGAGCACAGATGTGACAGCTGCCACCTAGCGGCAGAAAGCTGCACCCAGCAGCTGGATTATGGATTATGGCCCAGTCCATTGTTTGCTTGGATACTTTTCTATCATACTGTCTCTTGTTAAATTAATGGTGATTGTTTTTGCTTAAAGTTAAAAAATCATTTCCGAGATAAAAAATAAATAAAATTAGGGTTTGTGACTTCCATGTTTTTTAGACGTTTTAGAATAAACCAGAAAATTGCACATTTCCAGGTCACTTTAGGGATGAACTTGTTTGAGATTTGATTTTTTTTTAAAGGATTAAGGCCTTAGTTGTTTTTGTGATCGTGTGTCTGTTTGTGTGTGTGTGTGTCCACAGCCGCTGATTCGTGTTCGTGGACTCCTCCCGTTGTGTGGTGAAGTTCAGCTGCGCGCTGTTGTTCTGTACGCGCGTCACCGGCGCACAGAGGAGCTTCACGACGCCAGCAGAGGATGGAGCGATCCGAGGATAGCGACTACGGGAGTTCCTCGATCTGAATATGACACTATTTGCCCTTTAGTCCCATTATTGTTCTTCCTTCGCCTGAGCGCTCGCACGCAGCTGTCGTGGAGCCGCAGATTCAGCGCATTCTTTCGCGTCCTCGTCTTCCCCTCTCTGGAACAGATTCCTGCTCTCGGCTTCGCGGTGGACCGTAACAACCTCAGCTGGGTCCTCGACTGTGTGGTAGCTTCACTCGGACGGAGATCTGTGCAGTTCAAAGCTCGGTGCTGATCCAGGAAATGTTGTCATGGCCGCCTCGGGAGCCCATAAGTGCGCTAAGAGTGAGAAGTTGGACGAGGCGCAGGCTTTGGCCAAGAGCTGCGCAGGGAGACCAGACTTCCTGCCCTGTGATGGACTCTCCATCTGCGCTACGCACAGCCACGGGAAGTGCTTCAAGCTGCACTGGTGCTGCCACTTGGGCTGGTGTCACTGTAAGTTTGTTTTAAGTTGATCTAACGGCTCGGTCCATCATTGGCACTGACAACACGGTGGAGAAATGTACTGGATCACCGCCATGTTACGAACGTAGAGGCATCAGATCACTCCATGGCTACACACACGCTGACAGTCAGCAGTGGAACAACAGCCAAGTGTTCTAGATATTGATCATTGTTGACAGATGTAGGTCTTTTCAAACTAGGCGTAATACCCCCGCCACTCACCCCCCCCCAAAAAAAAAAACATTTAAACCAAATGTGGATTTAGACTTGTTTTAAATCATTTGTATTAATTTTGAGTTGATATAAAAACTGATGAGACCGTAGTCATAATCTTTACTTATATATTAAAGTAAGATAAAAATAGACTTAGCTCTGGTAATAGTTAGTTTGTGTGACGTAATGGCGACGGCAGATATTAAACGATGAGGTTAAACTTGTTCAGGTTAGGATTCATATCGAAAACACAATCTAAATGTTTTATTTATTAACATTTCTGACATTTAAACCCCCCCCTTTTTTTTAGAAAACGTCCAAACCTTAATCAGTCCTTAAATCGTACTGTTACTCAGTTACAGTTGTTGAATTTAAATAGGTAAATTTGGGATATTGTTCACCAGGTAAAAGCAAATGGGAGCATATGTATGAATACATACAAGTATAGTTTACACATACTTACGTACATATAAATGTATTTATGCATATATGTTTATATGTAGTACATTAGAAACAGCTTATATTTATAAAATATGTAGTAAAATAAGATTGATATTTTTATTAAGTCACTATTATTGATTAGTGATTAGAAATACACAATACAGTTTATCATATTATTTTACAAATATACATGATGTACTATGCAAGTATGTACGTCTGCTTTTTAAACGAGATTATTTTTGTACATGTACACATTGCAGGTTAAGTTGTGAGCTAAAACGCATAATTAATCAGAGTCAGGATTGGAAACGCTTGATCCCTGGGGGAAATTGTTAAAATGCAAATATGCAAAATGCAAATTGCTGTAGTTTTTTTTTTTTTGACCTCTCAGATCTGTTTGTATTCAACTCCTTCGAGGAAAATTGGCTTGATTTACATGTGCTGCCTGTCACAATAACTGAGGCTGAATACTTGTTTTCTGAAATGTGCAACTGGAATAGAAAATTATAGAGGCATTCTGCTAACGAGTCCTCTTTTAGTCACGTCCATTCATCAGACGGCAGATGTCGAACTCAAGGCCACCACAGCTTATTACACATATGGTGGTCCTAAAATAAAAGCCTATTGCAGGGCTGTCAAATTCAATCACTCAGGGGCCAGGAATTTAAAACACAGTCTGAGCTGCAAACCGAACAGGATTAACATTTATTGAACATTCTACAACTGACTAGTGCTTAAACTGTTACGTTTCATCGTAAAAATATCAACGTATATATTAAACTCTGCCCCAATTGTCCCTTCTTGGAGATTATGGGATTGACCGTTGATGCTTCCATTTGTCGAGATGCTGGGAAGCAGGATCAGAAAGTTAGCGTGAATTATGGGAATTAAACACACATTCGATTTGACCTTGTTACTAAACCAATCCACTAAACATTACTCTAGACCCTATAGCAGTGATCATTAACTGATGGCTTGCAGCCCAATTCTGGCCCGCAGAACCATCCAATCCGGCCTACGAGTAGATCCCAAAATTATTAGGATCAAAGAGAACAGATCTAATGTTCCCGACTGGGAAAAACAACAGCTGAGACTTAAATAACTCTCAGTAATCCCTATCATTTATGGCTCTGTTATGACACCACACTGAGGTCATGTCTCATTCGATGTCCCAACACTCTGTCCATTACCAGCCTTGCTGTCCTTCTCATCCATTTAGCCGTTAGCACCCAGGTTTCTACACCAGTCCTGTCACGTTTCCTGAATAATCATTTTCACTTCTGCTTCAAAAGCCTCTACATCTCAAACACAACCATCAAAAGATGATGTACTGGACTCTGTGTGTTGCCAGAGCGCTGGCTGTTTAATGCTCTGTGCCACAGACTGTGACTATTGTTCAGAAACCATTTAAAAAAAAAAAAACCAACCTCCCACATCATTCCTTCTCCAGGCTGAACATTGACACTCTTGTTTGTTCGTAGCCCATTCCCTAGACGTCCAACAGGGTGCTCCCTAGGACACTACCGTGTATTATTCCACTGCTAAAAATAGTCCTAGTGAAATTTTGCAGTTTGTGTGTGACCCAAAGACTTGCTTTAGTAAGAAGGAATGGGCTTTGGTTGGAAGGCTGCAGAGCCAGGAATTTGGATGGAGATGAACTGGAATGTCTCTGTGGAATTTGTTGGCATAATTGAACAAAAATTAATAATGCCAGCTTTGTATTTAATAAAAAGAAAAAGTGATAGTGTGCACATATTTGGGCCACATGGCAGGAGAGTGGTTGTTGCTCTTGCTGATTGGGATGTGTTTGAGTTTTCTCTGGGTTCTTCGGGTTAATCCCGCACTGTATAAATCTGAAGAATTAGGTTAATTGTTCTCTTTATATTGACCGTGGGTCAGGTGTGAGTGTGAAGGCTTGTGTCCAGGCTCTATCCTGCCCTCTGCTGAATAGGTTGATCTCCTCTACAAGGCTGAAAATAATTAGGTGTAATGTTCTAAATAAATCAGTCCCAACTGCTTGATTCTTTAGGACAACACAGTTGCAAGAAGTGTGTATTTCATAACTTGAAGACTGCAGGTGACTCCCAGAGATTGGAAAAGAGTTAGAGGAATAGAGTTTGTAATTGTTTGTTTATTTACAATTTAGAATTTCTAAATAAATAGAGTTTGTAATTGTTTGTTTATTTAGGAAAGGGGTGGATGTTGCATAGCCCTTGGAAAGACATTTTGAACACGATTGAGGCAAAACAAAAGCATGGTGCAACAGTAGGACTAATAGGACAAATATATATCTTTCTTTACTGTCGAGTAAAACAACAACACTGTGAGTCAAAAGCCGTGAGAGTCTTCTGTCAAACTGAATCCATGGCACAAGGCTGCAGCTCCAGTCAAACACCATTTGCTTTTCACTTTGAGAAGTGTCAAAAGTGTGTTTTGCACCTCTGAACCTCAGACATTTCTTCTCCATTTGAACGGTGTGACACTTGACTCCCTGCAGCTGTGCCTGAACTTGACATCATCTTCATGTCTATGTGTCACCCCCCCCCACCCCACGCACCCCCCCACTGCCCCCTATTGTCCTCCCTTCTCTGACTGCCCTGTAAATCCTCATCCTCTATGTAAAACACAATCAGCATCCACTCAGCGCCACCATTCAGCCAGGGCCAATGCTGTGAGACTGCACTGGCCACATTGTAATCTTTTCCGTGTAATCATCGGATTTAGACGCCAGGCCCCTGTTCAGAATGAGCCGAGTGATTTGAAATATCTGATGTAGCAGAAAAATGATGAATGCTGCTAATGCCAGTATCTACTGTGAACCACGTCCAGGATTTGTAATCCTGGGACTGGAGTCTGTTCAATGTTGCATCATTTGTAAAAATTTAGACCTGCTCTTGGCTTATGCTTTAAAATATTCATCACTTTCACTCAAAAAAAGGTGCTGTGCAGTGAACTCACAGCCCTCTGTGACCGTTTCGTCAAGGGTTTTATGTTACTGAAGAAGGCAGCAGCTACACCACAACAGAGCTCCTCACCTTCACACCAATTTGCTCTGTAATTCACAGATTCCCCTTGCATGCACCGGGGTGAGAGCAAACCAGCTTCGACTGCTGAATCAGGCAGAGACAGGACGCCCAGTGAGACACGCAGCCTCGGCAGCTAGCTTCCTTCTGCAGGCAGTGCTCACGCCCCTTCCTTTCAGAGATTCATTCTAATGCTGGATTTAAAACAGCCACACAGTTGATCTGCTCTTATCTCGTCCCATTTCCCTTTAGAATGTGCATTGCAAGAGTGCTTCTTTTAAATTACATTTTTAATAGCTTTCCACAGACGCAAATATCAAAGGTCATTTGGCTCGGCATTTTAATTTCTCAAACGGTGCCTCAGTGCTCGTCGTTTTTTTGTTTTTTTTTTACTGTTACAAACACTTCTCAGAAGAATTGTTTGTATGCTCACAGGTTACACAACAGCTTTGCAAGCTGAAGAAAAATGATCTAGTGATTTTTATTTAGATGCAGCTTTGGTGAAGCCTCCGGCAGAGCAAATGTGGAAAACTGGCTTGAAATGTAGGCAGAGGCGGCGTTCCCAGCTGGTGACAACATCAGTCCAAGCCTCTCATTAGTGATAATTAGCTGTGTTTAGTGTCACTGCCAATATGTCATGACTGATGAGGCCTTTTTTGTGTACAGCAGCGTTGGAACCACCTGGTCTGAATGTTGTTTTTTTTCTTCCTACTGATTCTTTTCCCACCACTGAGTGATTACAATTACCAGGTGGAGCAATGAGTTGGTGATTAAGAAAATCTAACAAAGGCTTCCTCCGTGTCCTCGTCACTCTGTCGCTGAAGTGGTAGCGCTCGGTTTGGCCAGTAGAACTTTTTTTTCACCTGGGTTTTGTTTGGGCCTAATCAAAAGATACTGCAGTGTTGAATACTGAAATACTTCTCCCGTTTTTCAGGGACAAATGTGTTGCTTTGCCTGAAAAGGATCAGAGCAATGATGAGTTTTATAATCAATTGCATCATTTTTTCATCAGTATTAATAATTTGTTATTTGGATTTGTAACAATATGTAAAAATATGTCAACTACCAACTGTCACAGACTCAGTGACAGTGACTGAGCCTGTACTGTAGTGGTCAGGGTTATGGCCTGAAGTGATGGCCTCTGGTGGAGGAAATGTTGACATTCACTCTGTGGAAAAAAAAAAAATTTAAAGAGCTGCATTGTTTTTCACAAGGCTGACAAACCAAACAGTGGAATTCCATTTTGGCGCTCAGGAACGATCCCTGCTCCTGGGAAAAGGAAACAGGAAAGGAGTTCCACATGCCGTTGGGTCA